ATGCGATGGATAGTTTTCCTGATATAAGTGAAACCCCGAAAAAAGTGATCTTCTAGGGGCCTCCTCCCTCCCCAACTGGCTTACCACCTATGAGTGGGGACGTTTATTATGTTTATTTCTTTACTAGTCAAACAATCTACCTAAGTCAAAAATTGTGTCCCTGCCATTTCCTTTTGTAATCGTTCATTGACTGAACTACTCGGCCATCTCGCCTCACAGTTGGTATCGTATGGATAATTATTGTTCTGTTTGTGGCAATAAAAAAACTAAATTGCCTTACATTAAAATAAGAATAGCCTGTATCTCAGTTTATTTCATAATAGATAAAAGCTTCAAGTATCAACTTTTACATACTCTTACTTTATGAAAATGAAGTGCTTAAAGTAAATAGGCGATAAAAATAAATTACTTAAGGTCAATTTTCTAAAATAAAAAAAATCCTAATCATGTTTAAAAAATGCTTCCTCTTGAACATTACATTTATTTTTTAAAAGACTGAGCAGACTTTACTCTAATCTTTCAATTTTCAATCATGTATGATAAATTAAATAGTTATAAATTTCTAAACTAATTAGTTATACACTATATATTTTTAACATTTGTGTCTCTTGACATATTTCTCAGGGAAAACTTTCATTAAACAGGGAAAAGTCAGTGACAATTTGGTAGCCACCCTGTGTGTATCTGATACAACCAATAGATACAACCCAAAAGTATCTGATACAGATGCTCACATAGATACAAAATGGTTGTCCAGACATGCCTGATTGATATAAGAGGAATGTTTAGTTATATTTTTAGTTTTGCACAATTTCTTAAGAACTATCTATCCATTTATTTTAATTTAATTAAATATTTATTTGTAGATAAATATATTCAATCTTGTTTTTTTTTTAATGTAATGTTCATTTCCCATATTTTTATCTGATACTCCTATCGAATATTTTTATCTGATTCTGGTATCGAAAATTTTTATCTGATACACTTATCAGATATTTTTATCTGATACTCGTATTGGATATTTTTATCTGATACTCGTATTGGATATTTTTATCTGATACTTGTAAGGGATATTTTTATCTGATACCTGGACTTAAGACACTGAAGAGTAGATACTCGAGCGGTATGCATACTGGTGCTAGGGCTTGATATTCTAATAATTATATCGGCTATTTTAATCCAACTGTGATTGATTGCTGATCGGGTTTCATATATATTATACCAATTTGATACAGTGGCGCCATTGGTTAGCGCACGGTACTTATAGACTGTACGCTTCAGCTATGCCGGGGTTGTGAGTTCGAGCCTCACCTGGAGCATATTTTTGTGGGCGGGGTGGCCGAATGGGCTAAAGCATGTGCACTGCACCGCCGTTGCCCGGCAACCAGATATATGAATTAAAGATATAAAACTAGTAACGAGTTCGCATCCCGGTGCGGGGGGAGTCTTTTAAATCCCCGCCCACACCCCTTGGCCCGGGAAAATCCCGTATAGCCTTAACGGCGAGGAAGGGAAGGACCAAAAAAAAAAAAAAAAAAAAAAGAAAACACAATTTGATACCTAATAAAACATATATTAAATATGTACCTATATTGTAATATACACATTTATTGGAAGTGGGTAAAAATGGTTTAATAAATTAATGTTTAACAGTTAAAAGGCAAGCTAATCTAATTCTACTAGTGCTGTGAAAAGAAAATGGCTGCTATGTAGTTTCCCCTAAAAGGAAAATCCCAAAGAGGGGATGGGACAAAGGCTGCAGTGAAGAGAGGATAGGAGAAGGGATTCTGGCTTCAGTGGGTAAAACCAGTAATAGTATTACCATCTTGGAAGTTGTTGTTTGGCAGAGAGACTGGTTATTTGGATTACAAGAGAGAGGATCTTCTAGGGAGCTTGAGTTGAGTAGAACAAAATGTCACCATTTGGAAGATGTTAGAAGACTAATGAATTTGTTGCAACAAAGGAAGAAACAGTATCTATTGAAAAAAAGTTAGCTTGCCAATTGAGTTAACTTGACTTTATTTTAAAATCAGTGTTTAATTTTAGTATAAATAGTGTAAATAAAAATAGTTTGTCTGAGATATTTAGTAGTCCTATAGGCCTCACAATTGAAGAATAACAAACCAGGTGAGTCAATTCATTCAAAGTGTGTTTACTAAGTCCCACATTTCAGATATATATATTCTTATTGTTTCTCCTCACTCAGAGTCACAAAGGTATTAGATTCCCAACAGCAGTTAAACACCCTCAAAAAGTCTATATCCAGTGTCCGGGGTTTTGTTTTAATACTCACGAGTGTAAATAACCTAGTTCCCTGATATTAACGGAAGGAATATTTACTATTCCCGACAAAAAGGAATATTTACATTTAAACCTTTAACATGTTATTTACAACATACATAATTTTCTTTCTTTATCTTTTCCTCTTCTACCGCTGAGCGGTGTGAGGAGCCTTCTTGTAGAGCCGAATCCACAACTCTCGATCCTGAGCCAACTGCCGCCTCCTCCTCCAGTCAATATCCCTTCTGTCAAAGACCTCCTTGACACTAGCCTCCCAGGTCTTCCTGGGCCTTCCCTGCGGTCTTCTTCCCTCCACTCTACTTTCCAACGCTATCCTGGCCGTTCGATTCTCTGGCATTCGAGAGACATGACCAAACCATCTCAAACGATTTTCCTCCATCACAGTTTCAGCTGATCTTATGTTCAGATTTTTCCTTATTATGGAGTTTCTTATGTGATCTCTCTTTGTTTTTCCTTCGACCCTGCGCAAGAATCTCATCTCCATGGCCTGAATCTGGCTGATGTGCTTTGTGGTGAGGGTCCATGACTCGCTGGAGTAGGTCATTATCGGGAGGAAAGTATTTTTGTATACTGTCGTTTTGGTCTCTTTACTCACTTCTCTCTTGTTCAAGAATCCCTTCTTTATGGCATTGAAGCATCTTCCTTCAGACTTCACTCTTTCCTTTATTTCTCCGTCGATCCATCCATGTTCATTGATGTGGGCACCGAGGTATTTGAAAGTTTTCACTTGTTCCAATGGGACTCCACTCAAGTGCACTCACTATTCTGTCTCCTCTTCCTTATTTCCTGCCAATCCTCATAGTTTAGGTTTTTTCCACATTTATTTGCATGTTTATGTTATTTAATTCTTCCTGAAGAATGCGGAGGTTGAATTGCAGGTTTCGTCCATTGCTTCCAAAAACCACCAGATCGTCTGCATAAGCGAACAGAGAGAAAAATACAGGCTGTAGATTTCTGTATCCCACTTGATATGATCTCATATTTTGTTTTGCTATTTTTATTGCATTACCTAGCACTAGTGTAAATAGCAGAGGACTTAGACTGCACCCTTGCCTAATACCTTGATTAGTTGTGAACTCTTCCGATATATTATTGCATGTTCTTACAACATTTCTTTGGGTCTTATAGAGACTTAGAATTGCCTTACGAAGGCCCGTTTCGATGCCTTTGTCTTCTAAGGCTTTTGCTATGTCTTGCTTCTTCACTCGGTCAAATGCCTTAGTGAGGTCTACAAAACAGGCATATATTTCTTTGTCCCTCTCTATTAATTTTTCAGACATTTGTCTTAAAGTAAATATGAGATCCTGGGAACTTCTATTTGGCCTAAATCCATACTGTTCTTCACTCAGGGAGGATTCCACTGTTCTTTGTAGGCGTTTCTCTAAAATCTTAGAGTATATTTTACTCGGGACACTAAGAAGAGATATCCCCCGGTGGTTTTTACATTCTCTGTTATCCCCTTTCTTAAATATTGGGACTATAACAGATACTTCCCAATCCTTTGGAATATTCTTTGTTTTCCACACAAGGTTTAGAATACATAATTTAATAGAAACATACATAATTTTATATAACATATTTATGAATTTCCATTCTCTTTGTCGGGGTCTAATCTCGGCGTGCTTTCGAACTGTCCATTTATATTTCACTCCTCCTGTTCTGCGGTGAATCTTCCTCCTATTCTCTTGTTCTATTATTTTCTTTCTTCATCTAATTGTAGTCACTCACTACTTGTGAACTAACATCTTCTTCTCACCGATACTGGTTACTAGCCGGCTGGCTACCTTCTGCCCCAACCTCTGGGAATTGCTTTCCCCACCATCTATCATTCCTGTCAGTAGTCCGTGACATCACCACCTTCACGCCAATATTCAAAAACACTATGTTACATTACAATATATATTTACAATGTAATATATATTACAATACATTACAATATATATTTATGTATGTTAAATTTAGCTATAAAGAATTTTTTTAATTTTAAAAAAAATCTTTAGAATCTTTCATAAGGAAAAAAATTTCTCTGCATGAATTTGTTATATTTTACTTTTAATTAAATATATTCCATTCTTTTGACAAATATAAAGCTTATTTTGTTTAAAACATTGTGTACATATCTGCATAGTACCTGACATTATATGTAAATTAGAACTGTTATATTTTAAAAATGGTGTAAAGTATTTAATACAGGAACAAATTTAATAATAAAGGAATAAAATGTATAGGTACATATTTAATATATGTTTTATTATATATACTATAATACCTAATATATAAAAAGGTATTAAAGATATCAAACCTGATTAGTGATCAATTACAGTTTATTAAAATTTCTGATACAATTATTGGGATATTAAGCCCTAGCGCCAGTATGCATACCGCTTGGGTATCTACTCTTTAGTGTATCAAATCCAAGTATCAGATAAAAATATCCGATATAAGTATCAAATAAAAATATCTGATACAAATATCAGATAAAAAAAAGTATCCGTATCAGTTGTATCTAGATACAAAAATTCCGGTATCAACCAATCCCGAGGAGTATAATAATTACAATATATATAATATTAATTACTTAGGATCTATTTTACACATTCCAGTTGGTTATGAGTTATAGAAAATAATAAAATGATTAATACATGTGATGAATTTTTATATTGTTTAGCGGCCTACCACATTCCTCTCAATGGTTTCAGGAAAGAATGAGGATCTATGGAGTTAGTGATTGGACTATAATATTCAGCTATGTCGTGCATACTGGTATCAAGCTATTGATATCTTCTCTGTTATTTTCAATATTGTTAAAAATGCGATTGGGAGGCCCGCCACTTATAGAAAATATAGATTTATTTTCACTTTTTGTGGCATTATTTCTATTGAATATTCATTGCACAGTTTACTTTCTTGTTGTGGGATCTTTTGTAAATAGTAGTAAGTATATAAACTTTATTTTATACTTTAGCTGTAATCTTATAACTATTTCAATAAGTATAATTCTTGATATATTTTTTTTTTAATTTGCCGACAGCTTATTTTTTGGATAGTGATTAAACCTTCTTAAATTTTCTGTTTTCCTATGAAACCTTTTTTAGATGTTGTTGAAGTCAGTCATGGCCATCTAAGCCAATGGTGCATTTTCTATGGTGCATGCCCACCCTACCAAGAAAATTTATTGCTCTTCTCTTCTTAAAATGGTGCAAATGGAAGTAAAATTATAAAAATTGTGTTTTTTTTTTTTTCTTTGTTCCTTGGTTTGAATGTTCTCTTCAATTGAAATCTCACAAAACTTTGGGTTACCTCCAAAAATTCATAACCCCATAAATATAAGCTCCACTTAAAAATGTTAATGCAATCTTCTTCTTGTCATTCCTCTGCCGTATCGAGAACATTTTTCTTTATACCTATTAAACTAGGTTGACAGGAAACACCCTCTGTCAATCCAAAACGGTCAATTACGCCAAGCTGAAATTCATTTTTGGGGGGTGAAATTTCGGACCATTTGAAGCAGATTTTTTAATACCTCTCAAAACTAGTTTGTTTAGAGATCACAGTAAACCTCTGCCAATCCAAAACTGTCAGGGGGGGACGGGGTGGCCGAATGGGCTAAAGGGTGTGCACAGCACCGCGAGTTGCCTGGCAACCGGATTACAGATTTGAGAAGATTTAATAAAAAGTACGAGTTCGCGTCCCGGTGCCGGAGGGGATTTTAAATTCCCCGCCCTCACCCCCCCCCCCCCCCCGGCCCGGGAAAACCCCGTATAGCCTAAAAGGCGAGGTAGGGAAGAACAAAAAAAAAATTAGCAAATGTGCTGTCGTTCATTTTGTCTGCTATTTCTTGAAAATTTGTTCATTTTTTGAGCAGATCCCAATGCCACCGCCTTTTTAATCTTCTTTGAGGCTCTCCTGGTAACAGGGAGGAAGACAAGAGTGGACAAGTGGATTAGGGTGATTAATAGTTGAAGTGTAGAATGTAGTGTATTTGTTATGTATGTAGGTTTTTACTGTTGGAATGTTCATGTCGCTGTGTATGGTGGGATTTAAAATATACCAGGATGCATTTACGATTTTTCGAAGTTTTTTGGACTTTGTAGTTTGTATTTTGTTTGTGTGGATGTGTTTTGCGGAATCCTAAAGTTCTGCTCTGTATTTCCAAATAGGTCGTATAGTATGATGGTGTAGATTAGTCGCTTATTTTGTAAATTGAGAGGAGATCTGTAGTCCAAAAGATGTGACAGTTATCGTTTGGTCAGTTTGTTTTTTTAATTTGGTGTGTATGTTCCAGGTGAGTTTTTTGTCCTAGTATAGTCCGAGGTATCCTACATGAGTTTTTGAGGGAACTGGATTGTAGTCTATTGAGACAGCAGGACACAAAATCTTTCCGCCATAAATTTTGATTCCCCATTTGTTGAACCATTTTTCTAGGCCGTGGAGATGATTTGGATGGCCATCAAAGCAATAGTAGGACTTTTGTGGGATAAAATAATTGCAGTGTCGTCAGCGAAACTATAGAGGGTGGTGTTAGGGTGCTCGGGGATATCAGATGTGTAGAGAGAAAAGAGAAGAGGACTTAAAACACTACCTTGTCGAAGAAGAAAGATTGAAGTATAAAAAAGTAAGTAGAAGGAATATGCAGTTTTATTTTCCACAATAGACCTTTGTGCCAGATGCTATCGACTGCTTTCTCGGTGTTTAGGAATATCGCTGAGCAGTATTCTTTTTTCTCAAAGGCGACTGAGATAGCGTCCGCTATACGATGGCATTGTTGTATGGTGGAGTGCTATGAATTAAAGCCAAACTGGTGGTTCGGTATAACTTCCTCTTTATAATAATAATAGTTTCTCAGAAGTTTTTCCCATTATAGGTGCAATAGGACGATAAGATGAGGAATTATTGGTGGGTTTAGAAGGTTTTAGAATCATTTTTATAGTAGAAAGTTTTCAATGGAGACCGAAATGAGTAGCTCGTAAGATAGCATTATAGATGTGAGTAAGAAAGAGAATGGCTTTTTGGGGTAAGTAGTGAAGGATGAAGGGAGTGATCAGATCATAGCCAGAAGCTTTTTTGTTTGGAAGTCTGTTGATTTCCTTATGAATTTATTTTGGATGAAATGCCAGAGAAAGTAGTGTTAAGGGTAGTGGTGTTATTAATTCTTATTCAATCCTGATAGTGAACGTATTATCCTTTTTTGTTCCAAATACCTGAGTAAGATGTTTTGTGAATTTCAGTTGCTTTTTCTTCGCCTGTTATGGCCCAGGTATTATCTGTATGTCGGAGAGGATATTGAACATATTTTGTCTTTAGTATAGGTCTTGTTGCTGTCCATATTGATCCGCTATCGTTCATTGAATTTAGGTAGTTCCTGTATCTGTTATTTTTGAATGCTGACAGTTCTTGATGGGGTTTTCAGGGTTAGTCTGTTAAGAGCTGTTTAGTGTGATGGGTATATAATTCTTTGCCATAGAGCTCTAGTTCTGCGTTTTACCTTTATGAGACCGCGTATCGCCTGAGGTAGGTAAGGTTCAGTTTTAGTAACAGAGTTCATTGGTGTAGTCGAATGCCAGACCGCATTTTAAATACATTTTATAATCATCCATAAAGATCTTAATGTTTCATATGTTTCCGATTTGGCCCAATCCAGATACCTATCCTTCCATAACAAACTGCAGAACCATCCGAATCCTCTCGTTTCAAACCTTGCTTACTCCTCGATCCCTGATAATCCTCCGAGGCATCTGAAAAGAAGATGGCCTCGGGACCTTTTAATATAGAACTTTAATTTCAGTTCTACCAATGGGTAGTTTCTCTTCAAGTTGTACATGTCATGTTACCAATGTCAGATTTACTTATTGTATTTTCCATGTAATACAGTTGTAAATTTCAATAAAATAAAAAATACATTCTATAAAGTCGTTGACTGCATTGTCTAGTTCGTTGACTGTAGTAATGGAAGTGTTCAGTATAGTTTGTTATAGTCCATGGTACAGAGTCCTTTTTATGAAATCATTAAAACTTCGTGAGTAGCTTCATTTTGTCAAAACCTACAAATATTTTATCTACGAAAATTCATGGAATTGGGGCATTTGGCATGACCTACAACCCCAACATATCGTCAGAACAACATGAAAATGTATGAACATTCGGCTGATTTACACATTAATGGTTAATAAAGATGAGTACAATCAAATGGTCATAGTTGCCTACAAAAATATTGGGACGTTTGGCATGACCTACATCCCAAACACGTCGTCAGAATGACGTGAAAATTTATGAACATCCGTAGGCCACGAAGCACAGATTATAGGTGAGCTATTTTAAGATAAAATAATATAGTGGCCTACAAAAATATTGGGGCGTTTTGCCCCAAAATAAGTCATCAATTATTTTTCCACCAAACCTTTTGGTCACTACTGCTGGAAGTGAGTTTTGGAAAGCTAAACATGGTGTTAATCTGTTCGTTGGATGTCAGATAGTATCTTAAGTTTGCCCCATTCTAAGAAGAGCATAAATAACCTATTAAGGGGTAATTGTAAATATCTTTTTTGGCGGGAATTGTAAATATTCCTTCTGTTTTATGGGGGGACTAGGTTATTTACACTCGTGAATTTAATTTTCTTAAAACAAAATCCTGGCACTGGATATAAACTTTTGGGGGTGTTTAACTGTTGTTGTGAATTCGAGAACCTAATGCTTTTGTGACACTGAATGACAAGAAACAATAAGAATATATATATCTGAAATGTGGGACTTAGTAAACAAACTTTGAATGAATTGACTCACCGGGTTTGTTATTCTTCAATTGTGAGGCCTATAGGACAACTAAATAAAGAAATGACTTTTCACTCCTAACTAAGAAGACAATTTATTTTACAACTGTAATAAATGAATCTATTAAAGTCTTAAAATTTTAGGCTTGATCTTCTTAATCTTCAGTGCAGTGCCTCCTTTCTTCCTGTCCTGGCCTAAAGTACCTTCTTTTCTCTCCGGCGTCCTTCTCCAGCTGCTGCTACCGGCTCGTTCCTTTTTCAAGTTTCTTCCTTCTTCATCGATTGTTTATCGATATGAGACTTTTCAATGAACAATTTGTCCACTGCACAATTGAGTACAATTCATAGTGCAACCTCACATTCCTATATATTCCTTCTCATTCTCTCACACAATGCCACATAAAGGAGTAAATATTGGGGGCTATCTACTACAAGGGGACCAAGGCGGAAAGGGGGGGAGGAGTGAATATTCAAAATTCTCATATTTTTTAATGATTGTTTTTCAGTTTATGACCTATAATTTTTAAATGGTGTATTCCAATTAAAACTATCCTATTATGAATTAAACAATATTAAATTCTGCGTACAATGATTACCTCGAACATCGGGTTCGGATAGGCAGAAGAATCAAAATGTACATTAATAAAACATGTGATCTACGAATTTTCTTTAAAAATCCCTGACATGCATTGTCAGTCTTTGTTTTTCTTCTTAAAAGCGGCTATTATAGATGAAAATATAGTGAATACAAGTTGTAGAGAATAGAATTTTAAATTTATCGATTAATATTTTTTTTATTTCAAATTGAAGTAAAGTAGAGAAACGTTTAATAAAAGTGACATAATTAGGTGTCAACCATTCTTAAAGTGAGTAATAATTTCATTAATACAAATTCTGTAGTACTAATATTCACATTAATAAATTTTTTTTCTCTCTACCTTACGTACGACAGAAATTTAAAAAATTTAGGATTTCTATACTTTACATCAATCGAACAAAATAAAAAAATATTTTCTAGTGTAATTAACAAATGCATCATTCTACAACTTTCATTCACATCTTTAATGTATTGTTTGCCTATATATTTTTTTTTTTAATTTCTTTATGACATTTACAACTGTATTACATAAATACATCAAGCAAATTTGGTCATAATTGATATAATGA